ACTGGACCGGGAAGAGGATTCCCCTCACGACATTTCCCTCAGACAAGGAGATCCCAGAGTCATTTCCCTCAGGAGAACAGGTCCGTGAGTCTTTTCCCTCAGAAAACGAGGTCCAAGAGCCGTTTCCCTCCGAGAAGCAGGTCTGAGAGTCGTTTCCCTCAGACATAGAAGGATCCAAGAGTCAACACCAGCTTCTGGCTTAACCAGGCTTTTATTGCTGCACTTCAAAATGGTAACAGTTCCGAGCATACTCGATACAAAACAAAACACAATTGTTTCAGAAATTAAGCATCGTACTCCTCTGAGAGAAAAACAAACAAACAAACAAAAACCCCAAACACCTGGAGCTTCTTTTTCCCCACTGCCCGAACTTGAGCAGCATGGTCCTGCCTCACAAGGGAAACGTGAGCTGAAGCTCCTCGCTCTCGAACTGGCATCCGGCGCCTGAGTTTAATACCAGACAACTCAAAAGGCCTTAGTGAACGTCACAACCGGAGTTTGTGTTAACGCTGACCGTGTTAAATCACTTCCAGCTCCCCCGTGAAAGTGAGGAGGATATCAAGTCCATGCCATCCTATGCACTAGCAGTTTGGTGATGTCCTCATTTCCAGGAGGTTTGTAGACTTATATATGTACACAGAAGCATTTTTAAAGTTCATCATCAAAACAAATGTGTAGCTTACAGTATACGTATAACATTATTACTTTTTAAAGTGTTCAATACATTATGATAAGCCTTGGTATCTAGATAGCTTAACTCATCCAGTAACTTAATAATAGATTGTTTCCCTCCCAGTGTGTTTTTCCAAAGGAGAAGCATCTGATAAGATTGCTCTTCTATATCATTAGGAAAGTCATAAATAATTTTATCAATATCATTTTCCTGCAGATGAGTTCTCATAAGCTGCTTCCATTTTTTCTGTGATACTTTATTTATAAAGGCACAATAGCTATCGCTGAGTTCTGAAAGAAATAAACACAAAGTTAGAATTTAAAACACAGTGGTTTTTTTCAGAGCTAACGTGCATGCTTTTCCACTCATTTTTAGCCAACACATGCACAGATCAAACAGCAGCAGCAAGGCCAGGTTTGGCACCTGAGAAGCAGCAGGACAAATAGGTTTCCTACCAAGTGACCTTGAAAGGAGCTAAAGGAGCTACAAATCTCAAAAGTAGCCTCCTAACACAAGACACCATTCACTAAAGGTGGTTTTGAGGAAAGTTTCCTTGGCCTGTACATCTTCACTTAAGCTTAACAGGGCTACGCAGCACTAGGCTTTCACCACTTTGCTTTGCCACAACAAGACCAGCATGAGCAAAGCCTGTCGCTCGGACGTCCAGCATATCGACTTGCCGGGTATGGTTAGATGTATGAGGATGAGAGGCCATTTGACAAAAAGATCTCCTGCTCTGAACTACACCTCACTCATTAAGGCAGACTACATGGTTGCAATGCAGACACATTTAAAGCATACAGAAAAAAAAACCTGAACCATTTTTACTCTTAAAAGCATGACTGCACTACACTGCTGTGCAGAAAAAACATGCTTTAAAGAAGAACAATTTGCCACAGGGCTTACAACTTCTCTGAAATGTAGCAATAATCCTCTTTCAGCATATTTTACAGTAAACAAAAGCCTGATAGGTCTAAGCAAAACTCACTAGCCTCCATACACTATTCCTTAAGCAGACTAAAGTCAACAGAAAAAAAAGCAAACACTGAGTACTACCAATTTATGCAATACTTACCTTTTTGAGAGAGATCTTTAACAATTATTTGAAACTTTGGTTCTCGTACCTGTAATATAAAATTGGGCTGTTACTCAACATACCAGAGCACTTCACTCACAATTTCTGAGCTTGCTTCCACAGCGCACACACCAACAAGTGAGAGGGGGTCAGATTTCACAGCACAGCTGAAAATATTTTAAAAAATTGCAAGCTGAAACAGCCGTGCTGCTGTGTCTGAAACTGAGCAACAAGGCAAGACATTTGCAGCTACTGCAAAGTAGTAACTTCTGCGTAAATATTGAACAGGGAGATGAGAGAGGCAGAGCAGATTAAACACGAGACTGAAATTTGCTTTCCCAAGAGATCAGTTCCATGCTTTCTATTACATCTTTAAGGCAAAGCCTCCTCTTCCCTACAGTTCTGCCTGAAAACAGCATCTGTCACTCAAGGAATAGTTAAGAACTCAACTACAATGACACTTGTATCAGAGAAAATACAATGATAGTTTCATGCATATTTACCTTACAGTTTAATTTTGGCATTCTACCACTTCGCATATTCTGGTGAAAAGCAGAATTCTGCCCAGTTTTTGCTGGTAGTGAAGACCCAGGCACCTTCCTCCACAGTCTTTCCACAGGGCACTTCCAGCCTCTGTGCAGGACGGCACTCAGCTTGGAACGTGCAACACTGTTTTCCTCTGGTGATGTGTTTGCTACTTCCAAGCTAAGGGTGGTTTGCACTTGGTCCTCCGGGCTCTCACCAGGGTTCTCACTCTCTGGGCTGGCTGTGTTATTTGCAGGTGTCTCCACTTCTGGTAAAATGAGGCTTTCAGTACTGTCCTCAGACTCCTGCAAAGAATAAGAACATACTTTAAAAGATGTTTCTCAGGTAAGCCTTCAAGGACCATCACGAGGAAGATAACCTGATACTTGAAGTCACTAGATGTCAGAGAAATAACAAGAGAGCTGCTAATTTGGCAAAGTTACAAAGATGCAAAAGTTAGAGCTTTTATAGACTTGGACTTCAGATGGTGCCAGAGCCTAAACCCTGTGCTTCGCTGGCTATTCTGCTCTGGCTGGACTGCGGGGTACAGCTCACAGGCTACTTCCGCAAACACAGGAAACAACTTTTCCTAATGTTTTGGCTGGCCTGTGTTGCTGCTCGCTCCTCTCTAGGTACAGGTATGCACCCCTCCCGAGGCAAAAGGGAATTAAGTTACATTGCTGCATCTGTGCTGACTTCATAGCAGCAGGGGCCTCAAGCCTATCCTTGTATCAAGGCTGATACTCTTAGAGCTTTTCAATAGCTGGTAATAGCCTATCAGCACCATCTAAGTGCACTGGCTCAGGCTTTTTGGGGCTGGATTAGTTTTTCTGGCAGGTTCACAAACTAGAGTCAGTTGAAAGAAGCCAGCATGCAACAGTGCACATTGCAAAGCTTTTGTGAGGGGACAAAGAGTGAGGAGGGCTGCATCATTTTCAGCATTGTCAACACATTAAACAGGAATATGCCAAGGAGTACAGCTCTACCGCATCAGCAAGAAGTAGAAAGCAGACCAGCACCTATCTAGCATATCAGCTAGTGCTAAAACTGGAAAGGTTTAGGAACTTTTTTTTAAAAAAAGTGAAAAACGAGGGCAGGAGTGATTGTTTTTCCAATGAGATTTGTGTTTAAGGTACAGTTCCCCTATGAGCATGCACTAGTGCAATTTCTGCTTGCACAAGGTCAGTGACCCACGTGTGACACCATGTGACAAACATGCATAAGCAGGCATGTGAAGTGAACCACCCCACACATGTAGTTGTACATCACCCTCACTGAATCCACTTTTCATTTAAGGGTGCAAACAGGATAAACAAGTTGATGCTATTTACATAGAAGAGTTCTTAAATAGTTAACTAAGTGACTGAAAGTACACAGTATGGCTGACTAATAGCTGCTGTCCTATTTTGGAATGAAATAAACTATGAGCAGTATTTTTTTTTTTATGGCAGTATGAATTCACTGGTACTTTGGGCAAACAGCATGTTGGCGCCAACACACTTGGTCTCAGGGCTGCATCAGTGTAACTTTCCTCAGAAAATAAGATTTTGTAACAGTAGTAGGAACGTTCCCAAGTGTGCAGACATGGCAACTCAAGTCTGTGACAACTTTTACATGGGAGCTGTGTCACCATACACTGATTTGTGATTGCATTATTCTACTATCATTTTATTCAAATTAAAGATATGTTGTATCTGCCTATTCCTATGTTACGGCATTTTGACCAGGTTTTCTGTCATGTTTCTTCATCAGCTTCTACGAATACAGGAAGCGCTGCGAATTTGGCCAGAGCGTGGGGGAAGACACAACCCAACAAAAGCCCATGGGTAATTCACATATCTGAGCCACTTATGGACCTTAAAAGAGAGAAGAGTTCAAGGTGATGTTTTTAACATATCTTTCAATTCTGTTTGTTCAATCTTAAAGTATTTGTGACATAATTAAGATCCATTTAATTACTTGAAATGTATAAGCAGTAAGTTTATACAAGAGCTCGTGTACCAGGTGAATAGAGCATACATTGGGTGGAGGACAAGACACACAGCAGGGAGAAGTGCTGCATGCATGCTACAAGAAGCATCTTCGTAGAAACATTTGTTTTACAGCTTGGTGTTACACAAACTGTATGAGTAAAGACTGAGTTCATTTTTGCCTTTTCATGCTGTCAGGAATGTAGCTTCTAAATAGAGAAGCTAAAGCTAGACTAGCTAAATACAAGCTAGTCTTGTACTTACCTTGCAAAATACTAGATGAACAATAATATTTTTAGAATGAAACGGCAAGGTTCTGAAACAGTGTTTGACTACAGGAGGCAAGGGTTAAACTAACTTTTAAGTGAAAAATATGCCAGCAGCCAGCCTTAGCTTGGTGAACCCTTTTCAGGGATGTACTTCTGAACTGGTGTACTCTGAGCCCTGATCCCCGTCTTATGGCACTGTCTAGGACCACAGAGTTAGACATTGCCAGGTCCTGGTCTGTAGCCCAAGGGCAGGAAGACTTGGACATTTTGCTGGGTCAAGAGAAGTAAGGCTTTACAAACAAATAACGTCACAGCCAAAGCAACAAGGAATGCTAGAACACCACCAGGCAGGGAAGCGATAACCAGTGTTGCCTGGGGGATACACACATGAAATGGCAAAGAACTAGTTGGGTCAAGGCATCACTTGGAAGCAGCTTGAACTGAAAGCTTGCGCTTAGCCAATTTTATTTTTTTTCCCCCTACTTTCAAAACATCCTGGCCACAGGCTCTGGAATATTTCCAAAGGAAGTGGGCACACGCAGCTAATGAATGCATCAGGCCCTTGCTAACATCTGGACCTGTGTCAGTCATCACAGGAATCCATCCTACTAGAGGCCTACACTGAGACAGAAATTGAGAGCTGTGTATCAGGTACAATTAATCAGTGTATAGTTAAGCTCCACAAAACTGAGACAAAATGCTTGATCCATCATATACTTACCAGGCCTTTTTCTGCATCTTTATCAGTTGAAGCAGCTAGGAAAAAAAATAAATGTCTAAAAATTTTTGCAATTGCAGCAACTTAAATATAGCTGAACTCACACAAGACTTGTATGCAGTAGACACATTTGTAACCCAAACCCAAGCTCTAATACAAGCCATTTCATCTCCTTGACCTGTCATACACTTCATGAGTACTACACCCTGGCACTACCCAACAGCACTAACACCACGCCTTCAGACAGGGGTGAAGAGTCCTACTTAGTAAAACACAGAATGTAAGATGCAGTTTGGTTTTCAAGCCACACTAAACTAACCTCCCCCCAAATTCCAAGTTATGCTTCTTAGCATTTTTGTAGGATATTGCAATAAAAGAGAAGGCAGAAATTGTCTTTGCTGAGATACAATCAATGACATGATTTGAACAAAGTCAACATCCAAAATTCAGAATATTTTTCAGCATTACTCTAAATTAGTTGCAAAAAAAAAAAAAAAAAGGCCCAAACAAAAAACTTTAACTAGCAGTAGGGGAAATAATTGTTTCAGGAAAACATCTCCATTTCCACACACAAAAAAAAAATTTACACATGACAAATCGGTCTAACACTGAGGGTAAGAGGATCAAACAATTAAAGAACTATTTGTAGAAAAAAATCTCCAGTCACACACAGTGAATGAAAGTAGTTAATGATCTAATTGATACTCTTTGCCCAGTTCATCTGAGCTCACATGCAAGTTTTTCCTCACTCTATGCCTATACAAGTAGATAGGAAAAGTGTCTAAGGACCTACACTAATCTTGATTTGAGGCAAAGGCACCTGTCAGCAAAATAAGAAAGCTCATAGTTAAAGTTTGTGCATTTTATTTACTGAACAAAACTAGTCTACATAAGGGAGTTACTTAACTGAATGATATACTAAACGAGCTAGGTCTTAAGTAGGTCCCCCATAAGGTAACACAAAAAAGGGGATAGCCTTAGCACCTGCTTTGCACCCAGCTCTGGGAAGTTTACGGATAGTAATTGAGCAGTTACCTTTACCACTCTTCAGCTTTCTAATTACAAGGAATAGCAACACAGCAGCAACAACCAAAGCAATCCCAACAATACCAATAATCACGTTGACAGCTGTGCTTCCTGCAAAGGAAAAAAGAAATAAAATTAATACCAAAGCAGTGCCCAAACAAGATATTGTGAAGTGCAAGTTTTCCCTGCTGCCCTAGAGAACAGCCTAAGCTCAGCACTAGTTCAACGACTCATGTAGCTTGTCCTGGAAATCAGCGCTGGGACAATCAGCTGACCTGAACATGCAAGTACTCATTTGCACTGCACATCACTGTTCCAAAGGCAGCAAGAGCTACAATACAACTTCTACAGGGCTTTCTGAAATGACATTCAAGAAAATGGGAAAAACAAGCATGCAAAAGATGACAGTGAGCTTCAGGAGCTGCGGTGTTGGCAGTGTCAGTTCCTGCTTTCTCTAGTCTGCCAGAAGCTAGCTATCAGCAGAAGGAAAAAAGCTGTTCTATACACAGTTTCTCAGAAATAAAAAATATGAAAGAAATCTTTGCACTATGGGTAACTTTCAATAGTGTCGCTGTCGCAATTTTGAAAGCCCTGGTGACACACGTAGCTTTTCACTCAGTGAAATTTCAGAACGTTTGCCACCCCCACCCCTAGGAGAACTCATCCTTAGCAGGTAATTCCCAGATCAAAATACAGCAGCTCTTAAACATGTTACAGGAATTCAAACCACCGTTTTACAGACTGCTTTGAAGCCACAGACCCAACAAACCAAGGTGAGTGGTATTTATGTATCAGACCTTGATCAGGTAAGCCACATCCTAGGTCCATAGTAGCATTGCAATTCTGCACAATTTCTTTCCCCTCTGGACACCTGAAGAGGATGGCAACAGAGTTATATCAGCATTTCCAGAGCAATATGCAGCTTTGCCCAAGCCTGACTTTTTTTCAGGCAGAGCTTAGAGACACAGAAACAGATAACTTTGTTACGAGTGCACCTTTAAGCAACCCAAGATAATACTACAAGATTAAATAGAAGCAAAGCAGATAAAGCTTGTGTATGTTAGCCTCTAAGTGGCAAGGAAAAAACCCCGACAAAGTAGATGCATTATTCATGCACATGTTAGTTTGCTTCAACAGGTGATTCTGCCTTCCAGAATTTTGGACAGGCTGCTACAAAGCTCATTCAGGTGTGTACATGGGGAAGCGCTGATCTGAATACATGAAAAGTGTAAGCTTATGGCCATAAAGAGCAAGCACAACAATACCAAAATCCGCATCTTTCTAGGTCTCAGCCTCATGTATTTTGATACCTAAAATTTAAATGCATGAATAATGCCATTTGGCTTCAGGGCAGTAACATGTGTTAGGTATCAGCAGAGATTGAGCCACAGCTCTAACATTCCCTAGGCAGAAAGCAGTCACTTTTCATCAAACTTACATTGTACTGCATCTCTGACAAATTTCACAGCCCTCAGCAGGGCAGAAATACCCTTGTTTGCATTGACATTCAGTATCATGCACCAGAGTACAGGGTCTCAGAGTTATCTGATCTAAAAATAAAATACAAGTTACAAAGTAAATATAAAAGTTGTGATTCTCTGCAACTGTGCAAAAATTAGTCGGGCCATAAAGGCAATTTCTAAGTTCAATATTCTCAATGACTGGAAGTACAAAAACAAATCAAAAACCCCAAAACCCCCCAAAAGCAGAGGAACATGCTTTACACACTTGAGAAAGAAAAAAAAAAAAAGGGGGAGGGAATATTAATGTTTCATCAAAATCGTGCTTGGTACCATCTTTGCACTGCCTGCACAACAAGCATTCTTCCAAGCCGTTCTCATGGGCAGCGTAAGTCTCTCCTTCCTTGCAAGGGACACACGTTCCTCTTGAATGCGGGACAGTGCAGTGCTGAGCGACAGAAGTACCTGTGGAAGAGGAGAACCGGCAGCAGTCTCAGCTGGTCATTTAACAGGCAGTGGAGTACAACAGGACATTACAGCACAAAGCCAGTTTTGGCAAAAAGTTCAATCCCTCCTCGCAAGCGAGCAGCGTGCCACGCGACCATTCACAGCTCGCTGCTCAGACAGGAGCGGGGTGGCAAGTGGGGCGCCCAACCCAGCCAGGCTTCTGCCGGGACACACCAGGGACAAAGGCAACTCATCCCGGCAGGCTGGGGCCAGCCATGTGGCCAGCACCATCTCCTCTGAAAGGGCACGGTGGGTACACGGAGAATCACTTTAACAACGTCTCCTTTGTCTGATTTATTCCTAAAGTCACCCGATAAGCCCTCCAATACTAAGGGCAGGATGGTTCTTGGCACAAAGCTTGTTAACTCTGCACACATTGAGCAAGGAAGAGAGAGCAAAGACAAACTAAAATGTTACGTACAGATACAGAAAACCACAAAAAAAGCAACACACACAAAACAACAAACGCCACCCGACTTTGAACACTTCATCCTCAGCAGCGCAGCGGGCAGAGGTTTCCCGGCTTGCTGCCAACGCACCTCTCAGTCACCACCTATTGCGCAAGAAAGAGGCTCACGCTTCAAAATGGAGCCCAGCCTCTACAGCACCAAGAAGCCACCACAGCTCCAGCCAGACTTATGCTTTCACCAGATGCAGTGTCAAAAGCTATAGTGACGGCAGTCATCTCCATGGGGAAAAAAAGCCCATGGAGGCCATCAGCTCTAACTGCCTGACGCCTTACCTGCCGGACAAGACAGGCAGCAGCGGTCCTTATGCAAATACTCCCCCTCCCCGCAGGTCTCTGCTCGGGTTCTGGGCATCAGCAGCAGCGTAACCTACAGCGGAGACAAACAGGTGTCGGAGTGATTCATCCCCCCCAGGACGCGATAACCATCTAGGGGAGAAGTTCCTGCAAAGACTTGAAAACACATTCAGAAGTTCGCGGGAAGCCACAAAGGAAACCCAAACTAATTTTTGCTAAGTGTGCCGCTCACAGCGCTAATTACAGTCACAAAACTGGGGTTTCAGCAGCACGGCGCTAATTACGATAGCAAAACCGGGATTGGAGCAGCACGGTGCAGCGGCTGACGGGTTGGTTTTATACAAGTATTGCCCCAAATCCCCGTGTCTCCATTTTAAACTTATATTTTCTTCTTTACTAATTCACTACAACTGAACTTCGGAGCCCAAAGTTTCTGCCTGATGCAAGAGATTCGCTCCTCCCTCCTCCCGTTTTTGTCAGGAGGGTCAGTGTAAATTCTTCAGCAAAACGGAGGAAACGCCCCAGAGACCTCTTCCAACATCTCTCGCTGGCTCTGTAACCTGAAGCTAAAGGCACGGAGCTGAGTCAACGCACACAGCATACTGTACGGCAGGAGCATTAGGAACTGCGGCGTTTTTTCTTTCTCTCGAAGAAAGCCCCCGGCAGCCGGGACCCGCGGCCCGCACCGGGAGGCCAGCTGCCTCGCGGGGACCTCGGACGTCGCGGGTTTCGGCCC